GGTAGGTAGATAGGTAGATAGGTAGATAGATAGATTTTTTTAACACCAATGTACCGTATATATGATATTCTCTTGTGTTTTCTCTTGACTAAGGAGGATGCGGGACCCCACGGAACCACCGAGCTTCACCGAGTGGTCACAAGTGGTGAACGGGAGCCCAGATTCAAAGATATCCACCCCAACCATGGTTATTCTTTTATCGACTACTTCCTCAAGTACCTCCTGGTTCTGAGCAACCTAATGTTCTCCGTCCTGGGCCTGCTTCTTCTCACCGTGGGGCTGTGGGGCCTCATCAGCAAAGAGTCCTTCACCCAGGAGAAAATCGGAAGCATGGGCACCGACCCCATGCTGCTGCTGGGGACTCTGGGCCTCCTGCTGGCGTTTCTTTGCCTGACGGGCTGTGTGGGCGCCTTGCGGGAAAACACCTTCTTGCTAAAGTTGTTTTCCGGAATGCTTCTGGTGATCATCACGGCGCAGGTTTTGGCCATCATCGTGGTGTACAATGTGCAACAAGAGATCGGGAACGTCCTACGGTCAGCCATGTTGGCTGCCATGGCTCGCTACCAGGACGACCTGGATCTGAGGTTCATCACAGATGAGATCCAGTCCAATCTGCAGTGCTGTGGGGCGGATACTTATCGCGACTGGGAGGTCAACATGTGAGTTGGCTTTGGTGGATTTGAACTTCCAAGACTCTGTGAAGTGAAAGCAGAAATTTGTCTAAAAATACATAACTTTCTGCAGGCGTAAAAAGCACAATTACAGCAGATGACATTCAGTAATTTTCAACAAAAACTCGATTATGTTGTAATAAATCACTTCCTATATTGTTCGTAGAAAGGGTTCTATATTGTTCTTTTAAATTGACACCTCAAATGAATAGCTCTGTCATCCGGTGGCTGAAAATAGAATTACCCCCGATATAAACAACATTAAAACCAAAATAGAGTTATTAACTGTAATAGCGGAACCGTAAACATGGAGCCTGTGATGGTTAGGGGGTTACTGTATTATTGTCGTGCTTAATTCTAGAGGCATTGTTTTAATCAGTTTCGGAATCCTGACTTTTTTCTTTTTTTTAATGCTAAAACAGCCCCACCACTCCCTTGAGCGCCTTCATTTGCATCAGTGATTATCTGGCACTTTATCATGCAGTTAGCTAGTCTTTATTTCGGGTTGTC